CGGTCAAGCTCACCGAAGAAATCTCTCTGCGCCTTATCTATGGTAACATCACAGTGGAATTTGGCCACATCACGAAGAGAGTTCACCGAGCTTCGCCCTACCCAAAGTTCTTCTTCTTCTTCCCTCAACATGTTGTTTTCGAGAAGTGCAGCAAGCTCCACGGAATCGTGTTCGTTCGCAATTTTATCTCTCATGTCCTGGTTCTTTTTATGGCGCATCCAAGTTGGTCTCTGCTGTGAACACATGCCGTTGACCGCCACGTGGAGGGACATTGTGTCAAGAAAGAAGTTTTGAGACTGTTGCATATTGTATTCCTCGAGGACTCGGGCTCGATCGTAGCCAATATTGTGTCCAACCACAATGCGGGGTTGCGTGGGGTCTCCCAAGGGTACCAGCTGTGTTTCATTCTTTGACTCGCCGAGTAGCCACGGGGATAACCACGCATACCATGCGGTCGGGCTTACCGCGCAAGCCATGACTGCAAATGAATTATTTTTGTACATGACCTCCGTGTCGAATGTTAACATCGATTCATTGGGGGCATCGACGGGTTCAGAAGTACCATCAGTATGGTATTTCGTCCATCCACTGCGTTTGACCCATTTGCGCGGTTTGGCTGGACAGTTCAGAGCCGCATATGATTTAGCCCAGGACAAGTAAGGTTCGGAAGAATCCATCCCGAGTTTGTAGAAATGCTCGTCCAATGTTTGCCCCTTGAGAGCAGGAAGATCGAATGCGACAGGACCGGCGCCATTTTGAGATTTTCCCAGCAGCTCATGTCTAGCCAAATGATCCTTCGAAAGCGCGACTAGTTTTGGGTCTGGGATGCGACCTTTATTTGGGAAGACTTGAGCATGGACATGGTCGCTAAGCTGTTGGACACCGATATCATTGAATCTAGATGAGGAAGGGACTGCGCCAGATCAGTAATTGCGATTTGGTTGTTTTCTTTTCTTATCGAAAAGCGCAAAAGACCGGGTACTCACCAGAAAGAGATCTTGTTGTGGTAACATTGTCGGCCGAAGTAGAGGAAAGTCTTGTATGACTTCTGTGTAATTGGTATAGTGATGGTAGCTTAACCAAAAGCGGCGAATTTGGTCGCGAGAAAGACCTCAGGGCACCCCTGGAACAAGGAGCGCAGGAGGACTTCCAAGATAACATCATAAAATAAGAATCTGACAATGTTATGTCATGTTAGAAGTATGGCAACAGCCGTAAGGCTGCCCTGGTAGCCCGAAGAAAATCCTAGAAAAGAAGTATTGCTAGGTAATTTCCATATCATCGCCTATCGCTCGATAATGAGGTCTGGGCGTCATCCAGGTCGGAATATAGTTTTCCCTCTCGTGTTGACCGCCTTCTATTTACAGACAACCCGCGTTTGGTAAGATGTTTTGTCGTTTTGGACGTGCCTTCACCACGTGATATTACGATCTTCCAATGAACACCCCACCATTAACTCACTGACCGCTTTCCAATTATAGACAGACAATATGAAGCGGGCTTATCTGATCCATTATCGCCACATGACCTCTTTGATAAGGTCCGGCATTGTCGCCATCACCTGCTTTGATCGCTGAAGAAGCCCCCGATTTTGCTGACGGTTCTTCTGCCCAAACCCATCATAGCTGCCTTGCCTCTTAACGAAATCCTTCAAAATCCTGAGGCTGTTCGCTGGCCACCTATTCCAAATCGTCCCACGTCCTTCCCCACACGGGCAACACAGCCGCAGACGACTTTCTCCAATTCCAGACAATTTCCTCGTTCAACCCTGGCGCAACCCTCTAAGAAGGAGTCATATTTCCCAGTCCGTCACAATGAGCAGAAACCGAGCTGATGTTGTCGACCTGACAACCAGATCATCCCGACAAAATCCCATCTCTTTATCCTCCTCCCCGCCTACCGCCTCAGATCACGCATCCTCTTCCCACCATGGACAATTGCCTACTCCGCGCGGTGTCAAGCGCCGTCGTAATTGGAGCGATGAACACGGTGATTCCGTCGCATCCTCCTCTTCGACGCTCTCCGAAGCCGAGCCCATCGAAACGATCGATATGACCGACGACTCAGCCGCGGCCTCCCTGGCTCGAACAGTCGCCAAACAGAGGGAGGATGCGATTAAAGCGCAGGCATCGGAAGAGAACAATTCAAACCTCTCCGCTATACTCGCTTACAAATGCCCCATTTGCATGGAGACGCCCGTGGACGCAACGAGCACCTCATGTGGTATGTTCTTGATTCTACAATATATAGGTTTGGGGTATGTTAGGGCTTTAACTAACTTATCATGTTCAGGGCATCTCTTTTGTCACAAGTGCATCATCGACTGCTTGAAGATGAGCGAACAAACACGCGGCGGTGACTCTTCGAAACAATATAAGGGTACCTGCCCGGTGTGCCGCACACCGATCTCGCGAAAGGAGACGCCTGGGAAGGCTAAGAATCTCATCCCGCTATTGTTTCTAACGAAAAAGCGAGGTGATCTTCCCGTATCGGGCACGTAGTGCCTTTGGATCGGATTTTCCCTTGGCCCTTCAAATCTTTGTTTTTATATTAACTCTTGCGGCATTGCGACTCGGAGCATGGTAATGGGTGGTGGTACATGCCCTTTTTTCCCTTTTTCTTTTGCATAAGCGATTTACGTCTGTGGTTAACGGCCTGGGATTGACGAATGGAGTTACACTGTCTACTGACTTACATTATGTGTAGACGTAGATTATAGTACAATCTTTACTTCTAAGCAGACATGCATATCCTATCGGTCCCTTCTTGCAGGATCGAGTGTATTCCGTCGGCCCAGCGCATTTCCCAGACCCCCTCGAACCATTGCATCCCCCTTCTTCCCTAATACTACCTCAATAGCCTGCACAAGGGCATTAGGATCATATTGCATCCCCACAACGGTTTCCTTATCACCATCCTTCGACATAATTTTTCGTCCGTAAAGACGAAGCGTTTCAATACCCATATGCGCGAGCCGCTCACGGTCTACATGCGGTGTCCCCGGACCATCCAGATGTAAGATATGCGTCACGTAGTTGGTATATGGAGGGACTCTGTAATTTCGAACATTTTCTTGCACTGAAGTGGTTGCGGGCTTCTGACTCTGACTTTGATGTTGAGCATGAACAATCGGGCCCCGTCCACGGCTTTCTTCCCCGGCGCTTACAATCGCTTCCACAAAATCAGATGCGGTAAATGGTGCGGATGGAGGCCCCGTTTCTCGATCCAATGATCCGTTCAAAATGAGGATCTTGTGTCGGGCTGGACTGGAGACGATGCTTTTGCCTACGCCTCGCAGGACGATGGCAGGGATGATTGATGTGTAGAGAGATCCGATGCTGTAGATAATGGCCTGGGAATCGTTTATTGCTTCCAGCACGCGCGGATTCGCGGGTGGTCGGATCTCCTGGCCGTAGGGATTGATGTACCAGATGCGAGTGATTCTAGAACTCAAATCTTCGTTCTCAGTTTTACTGAATTTGATATTCTTGTTGCGGAGAGTTGCTAGAGAGCCGGGAAGATGATCCTCTTCATAGGTGGTCGGGTCCGACATTTCGGAATCCGTGTAATCGACATCGTCTCCATCGGCAAGCAGCAAACTAGGTCTCCTAGAGCGGGAATTATGCTCAAGGGCTGTTGCCTCGCTTGGGTGCGAGATGCTGTTCTGACCGACAATGACAGTTCCGTCCGCAAGCGATGCAGAGATATGGTGGGAGAAATTGGAGTTGATTGCTGGGATTACGCGGACCAGATCTGACGGGACACCACAGATACTCCCGAGTAGATAGATAGCACTTTCGAAACTTCCACTGAACAGCCGGGCGGCGGTCAGGAAAAGATTTCCCACACTTGCGGAGGTAAAGTCAAAAGTTGATGATGGTGGTCGGGCTCGTTTCAAGATTTCCAGGTTTAATACATTGAAGAATGAGCGTATCAACTCTTTCTTTGCAGGGGTAATAGCTGTCCATAGCCCCGATGTGCCGTCAACGATGGACTGCCATTCATTGGTTGCGATGCCTGCTTCCGCAGGCAGCCGATGGTTAAACAATGCCTTAACTGCTGACCTCTCAGAGTTTGCTGGCGAATCCGGAATCAGGCGTACCAATCGACCTGTCCGACAAGTTAGCACGCGAGTTAGGGAAGATCCAAGGTGTTGGGCATACTCCGAACATCACCGATCCCAGGCCCTCCGAATATTCGAATCAACTCGGAAGAGGATCCTCCGTTATCACTGATTGGAATGATGTAGCTAAGTGGACAATTCTTGCTTTCACGGACCGCGTTGAATACATCGACGAGATTGTTCGCCGCGCTTCCTCCTGATATGACAACAATCCCTCTATTGGTCGCCATGGTCAAATACTTGTTCTGCTATTTTCAACAGGTGACAAGCTTCAAATTCGATGCAAAGCCACTAACAAATATCAAAGGGTGTTTGGATAGCGAAATGAAATTTAAGACATTGAGACAATTGGGGCACGTCTGGGCCCGAACGCGCAACAATGACACATTTCCATAAACGGCGACAACCCCAAAACGGCCAACTCCGCCCTAACCAGTCGGACTTATACGATTAAAAATATTTTATATAAATAACTGCTAGATTCAAATGGGACAGTAGCACAGAAAGTCTCTACGCTTAGCTTTTTATCGAGTCAGCTACCTACATGGTTCTATATATCCGTAGGTTTTTGTATCGTTGTAGATAGCCCTATCATAGCCTTGACGGAATTTTTTGGTTTGGGCCTTGCCACGACACAAAAGATGCCGTGGAATGTTTGTGGCATCGAACAAGATCTTATCAACAATCATTCAGTATCTTCAACCCTACCTAACCCCGATTATGGGCCTAGTCGAACAAGATTTCTCCATGTAGACTAACAATTCCCCTTCAACGATATAAGACCACTCTAGATGCGAGAAATGGTGGTTGAAAAAGGCATCTCCCTAGATAATATCACCCTTTCACCTAGAAATTGTTATAATCTACCATTTTGAAGATGTCTATATCTGTCGAACACAGCAAATCTCAGGATACCTCCAGGAGAAGTACGATTGCCAATCTAGACGCCGAGAAGAAGCTCGTCCGAAAGATTGATCTCTATTTGATGCCTTCAGTCTTTATTCTTGATCTTTTCTCCTACATGGTATGACACCTTGATCTAGCAATTGCCAACTATATTTCGCTGAAAGTACTATGTAGGATAGATCGAACATTGGCCTTGCAAAAATCGCTGGAATGGAAGAGGACTTGCACCTCACGTCACATCAATACTATACAGCCGTGATATTATGGATCATTGGCTATACTATCTCCGCGGTGCCATCTAAGTAAGCTGAAAGCTTTGTGTCTTCCATATGCAAAATGCTAAGTCTGGATCCAGCATGATTCTCTCGCGAACTCGCCCTTCAGTTTTCCTTCTTCCTTCCAATAATTACATTTGCATGGGGATCGGTCGCAGCCTTGATAGGAGCTGTCCGTAACAAGGGCCAACCAATAGCCCTAATATTCCTTCTTGGGTTCTTTGAAGGGTTTAGTGTAAGTGACTCGAGTAATACTCCCTAAACTCATTTCTAACTTTAACAAAGCCAGCCGTGATCTTCTTAATTTCTACCTGGTATCGAAAGAACGAGCAGTATGTTTACTTACACAATATCACAGCGTTGGAATGCATCACTTACTCAAAGCAGATCAAAACGGTTCCTCATTTTCCTGACCGCAGGTATACTGTCCGGAGCCTTTGGCGGCGTAATATCAGAAGCCATCACATCGACATCAGATGGCGCACACGGTATCCGCGGCTAGAGATGGCTCTTCATGGTCGAAGGAGTCACAACTGCCGGAGTGAGCCTGGTCGTCCACTGGACTCTACTCGACTACCCACACAGCAGTCGGGGGCTATCCCCCGAAGAACGAAAGCTAGTCCATCAGAGACTCCTCCAGGATGGAATCGCCGATCAAGACGACCCAAAAACTCCAAACGCCTCTATCTTTGTACTCTTGCTCAAAGCATTTTCAAACTGGCGAACCTGGGTACTGGTTCCAGGGTACATGACCCTTGTGGGAGCCGGAGCAATCTCATACTTCTATCTAACCTTGGTCAATGACATGGGATACACATCCACTACGGCACAGTACATGACAGCTCCACTCTATATTGTCTCTCTGGCTGCCGCTATCCCGATTTGCTGGTTTGCTGACCGCAAACCCCACACTAAGGGACAGATATTAGCGGGCAATATGATAGCCGGCATGGTGTTTTTCGCTCTTACGGCGGGTATTCGAAACTATACTGCACGATATGTGTTTCTGTGCTTCATTAACATGACACTCTGGACGGGAAACGCACTGGCTCTTTCATTTGCTACCACGGCTTTGGCTTCGGTTACTCGTCATGTTCGTGCGATCATGCTCGCGTGGATGACTAGCGTTGCTGCTTTGGCGCAGTTATATGGGGCTACCCTATTTCCGATGGAAGACTCGCCTAGGTATGTCGTTGGGTTTTCAATTTTTGGTACTACTTTTGCTATCGGGGCTATTTGTTATGGTCTGGCGGATATTTTGTTCAAGCTTTATCCATGAAAGGGCCAATATGATACGCTGCGTCATCTTCGAGGATTAAATGTCTACCTGAAACACTGGATTGAAACCATTGTACTCCGTACGGCGTAATGGGAAATACCAGGAATGAATGTGGAGTCGATACAATATATCAATTTCATACAGCCGTTTATTATAAATCCTATCCCCAATGAAAACAGCCAGATAACGTCTATGTCCCCTAACTTTACATGCATGCTCTGTCCTGTCCAGACAAGACAAGACATGGTCTTTATCAAAATTTAACATAAGCATCGAGTTTTGTTTACCCGAGCTTGGATTCGTGAAACAATAGGCCCACGCGGGATGTGCCGCGCGCGTTCCAAATTTCCGTCGATTGCTTCAGTTCGTCAATGTACGCGCGTTCGTGCTTAGTGGGTCACCTGAGCAGCAGCGGGGGCAGAGCTACCGCTGTAGAGAACGAACAGAATGAGAGCGCAAGGCACACCGACAAGGATGGCCTTGGTGCGGGCAGGGTTGCTGCGGTTGAACTCACCAACCTGGAGGCGCACATCGGTAGCAAGGCTCTGGCACTTCTCAGCACCGAGCTTGTAGTACACCAGACCAGCCAGGGCAATAGAGTAACCGAAGAACTGCTGGCCAGTGACGGGGTCGCGGAAAATGATCATGGAGGCAGCGACAAGGAGGATATCCTTGAGGATTCCAGCCATGGTCAGGACAACAGCAGAAGTCTTGCCAATCTATTGGTGTGTTAGTGATGGACTGGTTACCACGAGATAAGAAAAAGACCTACCAGCAAAACAACGGAAGCGTTAAGAAGGAAAGCAACCAGTGCATTAGCAATGAGAGTTCCGATGCCGAGACCGTAGATATCACCCATGGTAAGACGGGGAGCCTCAGCGAAGAGGGTGACGACACCGTTGGTGACAGCGCAGGCCGGCGCGTAGTAGTACAGAGAGACCAAGGGATCCATCTTGAACTCGGCGGAGCTGAGCAAACGCTGAACCATGACAAGACGGAGGGCCTCGAAGACGATACCGGCAATCTGGACTGTATGGTTGTTAGGACTAGAATGTCAAATATACCAGATAACCATATCACATACTGAGGAAGCCGACCATCTCGAACTTGATCTCGCCGAACGAGGCAATCACAACACCGACAACAATGAGAGCCACATTGCCGAGAGTCTTCAAGTTGGTAGGAGCGATTCCGAAAGCCCAGGTGGCCAAAAGGGTCGCAACAGCGTTGGTGGCCTAAAGAAACATGGTATTAGTCTTGAGTCGAACCTAGAATTTGAGAGTGGACGGAGATCGGATTAAATCAAAATTCCCGGTTCGAACGCACCTTAAGCATCTGGATGAAGGAAACACTCAGGTAGAGGTATGCCAAGTTACCGCAGATCAGACTCAAACTGAACATGACACCAATGGGCACAATGGCGCGTCTGTACACACAAATCCACCGGTTAGCGATCGAGAATTCGGGTCGGATTGCAGTCATGCTAGCTATTCCATATTGCGTTATCGGGGTTGCTCACGTATAGGTGGCCGGGTTCATAGGAACCTTGTGGCGCGAATCAAGCACGGTAGTGAACCGGGCGAGAATCTGGGTCATCGCCGTGGCGAAGACCATGTGCCAGGTGGTCAAGAAGAGCGCTGGTATCTCATATTAGTAATTTATTCCTCCGGACGCGGTTAAATATTGACTTGGCGGCGGAGGGACTCACGGAAGTCTAGAAGCAATCAAAGTTAGCTCAGTCCCAAGCGAATAATAGGGGATTAGAGAGAAGGGGTTCATACTGAACTTGGCACTTGAGAGAACCCATTTGTTGAACAGGATGACGCTGGAACTCAGAGCAATCCACAGGCTAAAAAAAGTTGTTAGTTTAATACTCGAGTCTTTCACGTAGAATTATTGTTACGTACGCAATGTAGAAGCCGGGGTGGAGGCCGTTGTCCTTAGGGGCTTCAGAGCCACCCTCGAGCTTACGCTCATCCTGTGACGAGCGACCGTTTGCCATAATGAAAAATCAAAAAAAAAAAAAAAAAACAGTATAAAGGAATGACTGTGGTGAGTAGGGAAAAGTGGTTTGAAAGGGAGATGATAAGGGGAAAGAAACGATTTATGAACGATCGGCAGTTTACACCCTTATGGAGACAACTACGGGTCACTTCCAATCACAGGGCCGTTTCAACGGGTGTGTCCCCCCAGTGTTTTAATGTACACGTAATCCCCCCAGTCCCTGAGCTCAAGTTCTCAAGTTTCAGGGTACAGAGTATTGAAGATCGAGATTTTTCGGGTTTATCCCTGTCGATCACAGCACAGCCCACTGTCTTTTTTCTTTTCTTTTTCATGTTTAGCGTATCACGTCTTTATGAGGACCAAATTAGGGTCAATTTAAAGTCAATCTGCCAAGAATTCAGGGAAATGACTCTAGCGCTGAGACAAAGATAATAAAAAAAAAGAAATTAACCAATCACAATAAAGAATGCACATAAGCACATCGAAGAGCCTAGAGTATGTACTTTTTTTGGTAGAACGTTGGACGAGGTTGTAATTATGGTAATCACGTGATGGAGATGGATGTTGATTTTTGGTGATACAATTATCACCTAAAGACGTCCCTGCCTCTTACGGGTGCTACAATCATCCCGATAAACAAACTCAGCAGGTCCACATTGTCAAAACTTCCAACATGACAGATTCAAAGACCACAGCGGATTCTCAAATCAATCATGCCGAGTCCTTGAAATATTGGAACAGCGTCCCAGCCACCACGGCTAGCATGCTGGGCGAGTTCCCTTCAGTGTCACGCATTGACCTACAAGGGTCTAAAACTTTCCTGGCCAAGATCCGTCGTTTAATACCGGGTGTTCAATCCCAAGGCAAATTCCACCAAGGTGTGGACTGCGGCGCTGGCGTCGGCCGCGTGACAGAGGGCTTCTTGAGCCATGTCTGTGACGTGGTAGATGCAGTAGAGCCAATAGCCAAGTTCACACAAGTGATGAAGGACAGCCAATTGAAACGAGACGGCATCCTTGGAACCATCTACACGCGTGGCCTTGAAGATTGGACCCCAGAGAAGAAATACGATTTGATCTGGGTCCAGTGGTGTGTGGGCCATCTCACGGATTCACAGCTCATTGACTATACCGTGCGGTGTCGGAAGTCCTTGACTGAAACCGGCCTGATGGTTCTGAAGGAAAACTTGTCTACCCATTTCTCTGGAGAGGATATGTACGACAGTGAAGATAGCAGTGTCACAAGGACAGATGCGAAATTCAGAAAGGTCTTCGAGGCGGCCGGCATGGATATCGTCAAGTCGGAACTCCAGAAGGGATTCCCGTCGTCTCTTAATATGATGCCTGTGCAGTTCTATGCCTTGCGGCCGAAGACAACCAACTAGTCCGGTTTTGTGTCTCTTGTGTCTCTCTTTTGCCTGATCTTTGAAGATCCAAAATGCCAGATTTGGTCCACGGGTTTCGGCGGACTTTTATCATTAATCGGATGGGGACTTTTGATGGATGCTTGCTCGCTGCAATGCGTTGATTCATATCTTTAATCGCCAACTTCGCATGGATGTTTGATCCCATCTATTGACCGTTATGTACATATATAACCACTTTCTTCGATGCCCACTGTCGTATGAAACAAAATCAAAATTGATACAGAGCGTCGGACTCCGCAACAAAAGGAGAAATTTTAAGTCGTCCACCAGAAACCACATCCCTGTTCAATTTCCCTGGGGGAGTCCACACAACTTCGGCAACGTTTGTTCGCGGCCGAGACACACCACACCCAGTATCATCTCTATGATGAACCACCAATAGGTCCGGTCGACACCCCTGCTTTACACATAAACCGGAATGGGATGGCGAGAGCCCAATAGCTGCCCTAGCTCGTGTCGAGACACATTCATAGAGTAAGTCAGCATCCGCCTGGCTTCCAGCCTGGTAAATCCCCACGCCGAGACAAGCTAGCGATAACGGATCAGGTAATCCCCATGGGGTAAATGAATTTCCGACATTGTTCACCCCGATCACGGCATCCAGGTTGTATTTCCGGATCATCTCTAGGACATGTAGAGTGCCTCTCGGGCGATCGTGTGATGGTTTGCAGTCCCCACTCGTTTTAGGAGGTGATGCCATGTACATATCGCTTGTCGGCAGACCTACAAAGCTGACTGGGAGTTCATTCTCGTGGATTTCAGTTGCCAGTCGGGCCCATTCGTTCTCCGTGAGCAGTGTCAGCCGTGTGCAATGGCCAAGCATGACACGCTTGTCTGTTGAGTAGGTAGTCCAGCTTCGCTGTTTGAGGGTTTGTAAGACATGCCAGACTAGAGCCTCTTTGTTTGAATCGAGGTTGTAGTCGAGATGGAAGTCGATGTGTTTGTTCAGCTGTAAGGCACGATCAATCGCCCATTCGATGTTTTGTTTTGCAGCGTCGGGACTGGATTCGACGTATGGTGTTGTCCCGATGACATCGATTTGCGAATATTTCTGAAGAGCAGTTTCCAGAAAAGCCATGTTTTGTTCTCCATGTTCAGTAGAGAATATAGGATCTTGCGCAAAACAGACGATTTGGATATCGCAAGAATCCTTCCATTGGTTTTTCAATGCAACACCAGCTTCTAAACAAATAAGCTGCACTGTATGGTCTACCTCCACAAATGCCCTCATTGAAGTGACACCCGATGCAACAGACTCAGCAAGAAGCCATTCTCCCCTTCTAATGAGGTCAGAATTGCCGAATTGTTGTTTGGCCTTGGTCGTGGAGGATAAAGCCTCCTGGAACGTGCCAGCTGTAGGTAGAAATGGGGCATATTCAGGTGCGCTGTGAATAAAGGCTTTATCCAGGTGGATATGAGGGTGTGTCAAGGCTGGTAGGGCTAGAGGAGACTCGAAATCATCCTTAGTAGAGGGTTCATGCGGGGTCACGGAGGTGACTGTGCCGTGTGGGGAGTCTGCAGGGTATTCAATATGGATATCCCAGGTGGACGGCTCCCCTGCGAGTCGAAC